GACCCTGAAGTTTAAAATGAGGGCTTGTTTCTGGCCAGCAGGCACAAAAGTCCTAGCTTTCCACTTGGTTTTCCCTGACATCACCACAGTGGGGGTGTTAAGGTATCTCATTACAACCCCAGGAAGGTAAATTCTCAGCTTTCCACTCAGCTATTAAGGGTGGGGGTTAGAGTTACACTGCAGAGTTTTGTGCTGTTTGGCTTATTTTCTTTTTCTTTCATTTTTCAGTTATAGTTGGTATATCATAGTATGTTAGTTTCAAGTGAATTGTGATTATTACCTAAATGTTTTCAGTCTCAGATCATAGAAATTTAACATTTAAAGGAACTTTAAGGCAGATCCATTGTTAATCTTTTTAATATATTTTATTGATTATGCCATTACAGTTGTCCCATTTTCCCCCCTTCATTCCCCTCTACCCTACACACCCCCTCCCACCCACCTTCCTCCCCTTTAGTTCATGTCCATGTGTCATAAGTTCTTTAGCTTCTACATTTCCCACACTACTCTTGCCTTCCCCAAGTCTATTTTCTCCCCACCATCTATGCTACTTAATCTCTGTACCTTCTCCCCTCCCTCCTCCTCCCACTCCCCTGCTGCTGACCCTCCATGTGACCTCCATTTCTGTGGCTCCACTCCTGTTTTAGGAGTCCACTTAGTTTGCTTTTGTTTTAGGTGTGGTTGTTAATAACTGTGAGTTTGCTGTCCATTCACTGTTCATACTTTTTATCTTCTTTTTCTTGGATAAATCCCTTTAACATTTCATATAGTAAGGTCTTAGTGATGATGAACTCCTTGAACTTGACCTTATCTGAGAAGCGCTTTATCTGCCCTTCCATTCTAAATGATAGCTTTGCTGGACAGAGCAATCTTGGATGTAGGTCCTTGCCTTTCATGACTTGGAATACTTCTTTCCAGCCCCTTCTTGCCTGTAAAGTTTCTTTTGAGAAATCAGCTGACAATCTGATGGGAACTCCTTTGTAGGTGACTGTCTCCTTATCTCTTGCTGCTTCTAGAATTCTCTTCTTCGTTTTAATCTTGGCTAGTGTAATTATGATGTGCCTTGGTGTGTTCCTTCTTGGGTCCACCTTCTTTGGGAAGGAATCACTCTGAGCTTCCTGGACTTCCTGGCAGTCTATTTCCTTTGCCGGATTGGGGAAGTTCTCCTTTATTATTTGTTCAAATAACTTTTCCACTTGTTGTTCTTTCTCTTCCCCTTCCTCTTTCCCCTCTTCCCCTTCAGATGTTGGAACATTTAAAGATGTCCTGGAGGTTGCTAAGCCTCTTCTTATTTTTTTTGAATTCTTGTTTCTTTTTTTTTTTTCTGTTTGGTTGGTTGTTTCTTTCTTCCTTCTGGTCCACTCCATTGATTTAAGTCCCAGTTTTCTTTCCATCACTATTGGTTTCCTGTGCATTTTTCTTCATTTCACTTAGTGTAGCCTTCATTTTTTCATCTAATTTGTGACCCAAATCAACCAGTTCCGTGAGCATCCTGATCACCAGTGTTTTGAACTGTGCATCTGATAGGTTGGCCATCTCTTGGTTGCTTCAAAGTATTGGCTCTGGGGCTTTGATTTGTTCTTCTGATTGAGCTATTTTTGGTCAGGTCGTGCCTATTATGTATGAGGGGTGGAGCCTTAGGTGTTCACCAGGTCAGGGCAAACCAGTCACTGGGTTGTGATGCTGTTTGTGAGGGTGGGGTCAGAGAGGGAGCAATGGCACTTGTTCTGTGATCTCTGAGATTTTGGTCCCCTCTGCCACTTCCCACAACCAAACTGGCCTTTCTGGTGCTGGTTCTCAGGTGGGTGGGCTTGTGTATATTCTAGGACCCTGTGGGTATCTCCAACAAACTCTCCTGTGAGGCTGGGGGCCTCTTCTGACACCTCAACCCCTGAAAGTTTTTTTTAATAGGTGCTTTTAGGCTTTATTTCCCATCACTGGGGCCCTGGGTTGCGCAGCTTGTCTCACTGCCCATTTTTGCCTGGTTTATCGGCACGTGATGTATGTCCGAGGTCAGCCACTGCCTTGTGTGCCTTACTGGGTTTGCTGGTTTCCTTCCCAAGCCCAGGTCACCAACCATCATCACCTTTTCCTGCTGGGATCCCTCTTCGATGGCCGCCAACTCCTTCCCTCTTACAGGTCCGGATGAATGGTTTGTTGTTGTCAGATTTCAGTACAGTTCAATTTTCTGTCTGTTCTCGTTGTGTTTTTGTTGCTAAATCTTTGTTATATTTAAATTTGGTTGTGTGAGGAGGTACACCTATGCCTCCATCTTGGCCAGAAGTTGCCATTGTTAATTTTTTGAAGTATCTCCATACTGCTTTTCACAGTGGCTGCACCAATTGACATTCTCACCAACAATGCAAAAGGATTTCCCTTCCTCCACATCCTGGCCAGCACTTGTTTGTTCATTTATTGATGATAGCTATTCTGAGAGGAGTGAGATGATGTCTCATTGTGGTTTTAATTTGCATTTCTTTGATGATTAGTGACATTGAGCATCTTTTCACATGTCTGTTGGCCATCTGTACATCCTCTTTGGAGAAGTGTCTATTCAAGTCCTTTGTCCATTTTTAAATAAATTATTTATTATTTTGCTGTTTAGTTTTATAAGTTCTTTATAAATTTGAGATATTAACCCCTTATTTGATATGTTGGAAAATATATTCTTCCATTCTGTGGGTTGTCTTTTTATTTTGTTAATGTTTACCTGTGCTGTGCAAAAAGTTTTTAGTTTGATGTAGTCCATTTGTTTATTTTTTCTCTTGCTTCTGTTGCCTGGGAGATATTTTGGATAAAATATTGCTATGAGCAATGTTTGAGACTTTTCTGCCTATGTTTTCTTCTATGATTTGTATGATTTCGGGTCTAACATTTACATCTTTAATACGTTCTGAATTTATTCTTGTGTGTGGTGTAAGAAGGTGGTCTAGTTTCATTTTTCTGTCCAATTGCACATATCTGTCCAATTTTCCCAAGAACATTTAAATTGTCTTTAGCCCATTTTATGTGCTTGCTTCCTCTGTCGAATATTAATTGCCTATAAAGGTGTCAGCTTAAATGATCCCATTCACAATTGCTTCAAAAAGAATAACATGCTTAGGAATAAATCTAATCAAGGATGTAAAAGACCTGGACTTGGAAAATTTTAAGATACTGAAGAAAGACATAGAAGATACAAATAAGTGGAAGCGTATAGCATATTCATGGATAGAAAGAAATAACATAATTAAAATGCTCATACTACCTGAAGCAATCTATAGACTCAGTGCAATTTTTATTAAGATTCCAATGATGTATTTGATGTATTTGTTCACTAGAACAAATATTTCAAAATTTATGTGGAATCACAAAAGGCCCTGCATAGCAACAATGATCCTGAGAAAGAAAAACAAAGTTGGAGGAGTCATACTACTTAATATGTAACTACACTTTACAGCCATAGTAATCAAAACAACATGGTACTAGTATAAAAACAGACACATAGATCAATGGAACAGAACAGAGAGCCCAGAAATAAATCCACACCTTTATAGTCAATACACCAAGATATAGAAGCAGGCCAAGTGTCTATTAGTAGATGAGTGGGTAAAAAAATCTATGGGACATTTACACAATGAAATACTACTCAGCCATAAAAAAGAAAGAAATTACCTTTTTTGATAGTATGGATGGACCTGGAGAACATTATGCTAAGTGAAATTGCCAGTCAGAGAAAGATAAATACCATGATTTCACTCGTGTGGAATCTAATGAACAAACTGCCCTAACAAGGAAATTAGACACAGACTCACAGATAGAGAGCAGAGTGACGGAGAAGGGGGAGGTGCAGGATGTTGTGGGGGAGGGATGGAGCAAGAAGGAAAAAGGACTCAGGGACATGGACAGTAGTGTGGTGATTGGGGGTGGATGTAGAGGACTAAATGGTAATGGAAAAATACAGTTAAAAAAAGAAAGAAAAGGAACTTTAAGAATCACACATTCCACTCCTTTCATTTTACATATGAGGCCCTGAGTAATGAAATATATTGTCTATGATCGTAACTTCCCATTAGCATGAGACATTGGATTAAAACCTAAGCCTTGGAAGCCTACTTCATGGTTCTTGCTCTTTTACTAAACACTTTATACAGTAAAAATAATTCAGGGGATGAAAAAGATCCTTTTAAAATGTTTGAAAAGTATTTTGCTTTTTAAGACAAGTACATATTTATAAATTTAGTTGTTCAGACATAAATGTTTCACTTCATCAATGTAAATATAATATTGTAGCAAAATCCCAAAGCTTATAGAACTATGATTTCAATAAAAATTTATTCACATGACCTTATCATTAAATATTTCTTTTTCTTTCTCTTACAGACTTCCCCAACATTTTCCCTATCATTTGCTCCTAAAACACTTTACTGTTTGAAGTTCAACAGGAAATATGTTATTAGAAGAAATGCTATCTTTTCAAAGCTGTGCCTTAAAATTAGCTCTTTTTTCATAGTTCCTGCCAATTTTAGCTGACTTACAATTTTCATTTTAACTTGGAAATCTTCATTTTAATATTTTAACATAACAGTTAAGCACATAACATAATGATTTAATGTGTTATTAATATAATAATTTATTGAGTGTCTAGTATGAACTAGTCACTGGGCCAAGTATTTAATACTAAAAATTATTAAAAACTAATCATATCTTTTAGATGTTCATAGCTTGTGATGTTACATAGATTTGCAAATGTGAAAAATTATAATCAAGACTGTTCTTAGAACACTCTGAAAACACTATATAACAAAACACTAACTTCCTTTGAACTTCTAAATTCAAGCACAAGGCAACATGTAAAAATACTCCACAGTTAGAAAAGCTCAGGAATCCTGTTTCTAAATTTAAAATCTACAATGGAAAAGTGGATGATTTTCTTACATTTGCACATAAGAAAGAAATACAGGCACACAGAGCTGAAAAAGAATTTGCTTAATGTTAATTTACTTTGATAAAGATTTATATTCTCCTATGAAACCAGATGGTAAAGATTATATATTTTGATATAAAATAGGTAAATATGCCATGGTGGAAAGAAAGGATTATGGAGAGAACTTTGATCTGTGGAGGTGCTAGGAACAATGAAAGATATGAAAGGACTATCACCAGTCCCAGATGGAGTTCCCGTGAATTCGACTAAGCGTTCCAAGACTGTTTGACCATTCCTCTCACAGATGTTTTTAATCTTGGATTAAAAGCCCATGCGTTACCTGGATGCATAAAAAAAAAAGGCTAATTTAGAAGTGATGGCAGGAAAGGCACCAGGAACTTGACTCAAGTTCTTCATTGTTATTGATCTTTCTGACTTCAGTGTCCATCAGCCAAAAACTGCTCTTTGGTGATTATCTGTGTAGAGTGTGGAAGAAAGAACATGGGTCATGAGATCATCTGAAGAATATGAAAAGAAGGAAATCAAACATGGTTATATATTTTCTAAAAGTATCCAATAGTAAAGTTTTACACTAGAACAAGCAAATTAAAAGTGTAGATTAGGTTATTTTACTAGGGGTATGTCATCTGTCTAAATGGCAGACCAGAGGACATCTCATCCTGACATGTCCCAAAATTCTAGAATTTAATTGGGGAAGACTACTGAAAGATTACTGTCACAAAAGAAACAAAACATCTTGACATGACCCCAAATGGTGAGACATCTGTTATCACAGCCTGGAGTTTAGCTACACTCCACCAGTTAAAGGAAAAAAAATAATTTTGGATTCAATGATATCTGATTAATAGACAGCAGATAGCAAATAATTAGTCATTTACTTTATTACTATTGGAAAATTTGAAAAGAATATTTCCAAAGACATGGGAATGATCAGTAGAGATTTTGTTCACACTACTGAAGTTTTTTGTTAGCATCTTCCAAATCTCACTTGGCAAACATCAAATATATTTATTCTCAGTTGAATGCAAATGTGCAAAATCCAAAAAGAAGATTTCTATAGGTACAATTTATGGAATGACAAAACAAATGTGAAACCTCAAAATTATTAAAATTGCATTCTTTTGTTTTTCATAGGTATATGATAGAGTTACTAAATGAATTATAATAATAAAAATTAATTTGCCAAGAATTTCTCTATCCCTTTTTCCCCCCACCACCCCTGTCTCTCTCCTGCTCTCTCCCTTTCATTCTCACTCACTTTTTTATTCCAGACACTTCCATGTAGAGTCCTAGAGAAATAAATATTTCAGAGAGGAATTCCATGCTTTCTTTGGAGGGAAAATTCCCCAAGAGTTCAATAAAGCTCTATAGAAACAGTTAGCGGTGGGAGGCCTTTCCTACTAAATTTAAAACAATATTATCAGGCATGCCAATTAAAACCCTTGCGGGATTGGGTGTGGTGGTAGAAGCAACTTCAGGTCACTACAGAACACAGAGAAAATGTTCAAAGCAAACCTCTAAATGAAATTGGGTCTCTTTTCCTCCCATTTTAATAGAAAGGATGGTTCATTCTTATATCCACTCTATTGTTGATATAACCTTAAAGTTTTGGCAACATGTCTCAGAAAATCTGACCACATCCCCACCTTTTATTCCATGAAAGATGGGGAAATGCTGATCTGGGTAAGTTTCTGAGGAGACAGAGAGAGGGTTCGTGAACCTTAGCATTAGAATAGTTCTCAAAGCAAGACTGTTCCAAGAACAAGTTTGGATAGAGGGAGAGCACAAGGATTTTCCATTTCAGAACTCTATTTTCTACGTTTTGTATGACTGACCACCCAACTTAATAAATTATTGTTAGTAAATCACTGATGCCTTTTCATTTAGTCCTAGTTTTTACAAGGTACATTATTTTCTATAAAATAACACTTTAATTTGCTACAGATTTTTATTACTCTGTTTTTAATACCTGTGATAAAAAGACTATGTAAAAATAAAATGGCAGTTATTACATGATTAAATTTGGGAAAATTTAATCTCTCTCACATAACACACACACAGAAACACAATTAGGTCATCTTCTGCAAACAGCAAAGAGCTACTACCCCAAACCTAAGAGTAGGCCATGAGCCCATGTGTTCACCTATTTGTGCTGCTATAAGAGAATACCATAAGCTGAGTGGCTTATAAACAAGAGAAATTTATTTCTTATACTTTTAGAAGCAGGAAAGTCCAAGATCAAGGTACCTGCAGAGTTGGTGTTTGGTGAGGGCGGGTTTCCTGGTTCACAGATGGCCACCTTCTCATTTGGTAAAAAGGGGCTGGGAAGCTCTGTGGAGGAGTCTCTTTTATAAAGGAATGAATCTTTTCATGAGGGCCTGCCTTCGTGACCTGATCACCTCTTACAGGCTCCACCTCCAAATACATCAGCTATCAGTATTTAACATGACTTTTGGAGGGACACAAACATCCCATCTGTACAGCACAGGAGAAAGCCGAATTAGTGTTTTGGATCACACGTAGGCTAACTCTGAGGAGCTGCTTGTCTTCCAATTATGTTGTGCTGTGCCATCCCCACTGTTTTCTTCTACCTTGATAGAAAGGTAGTTGTACAGAATATTTAAGGGAGGATGAGATAGTCACTTACATTGCCCACTAGACAGATTTTTCCATTGAAACAAAATTAAAATCAAGAAGGAAAGGTGGGAAGGGAGAGGGAATGGGATTCATATCTGACTGTTTTGGTGTAGAAAATCATCATTAAACATGGGAATTTTCAGTGGTTATAATTGCCTCTCTGAGGGGCTCGTATACCCTAACTGATCACTAGATGAGTCAGTGGTAAGTAGCTATTTGAAGTTATCTTCCTGTATGGAACTTTCCCTCTGCCCTATGTCATATGGGGTTATCAAGTCTGTATTTAACAGATTCATTATTTCTCACCTGACACAAGGTTTTCCAGGCAAAGTACCTAATTTGGACTTAGTCTAATAAATACATACCTATGTAATTGTTTATTTAAAGTCTAATATTGGATTTACACCTGAAAAAATGGACAAATTAGGCATACTCATTTCTAAAGAGTGTGAATGAGATACTGGACTCTTGGACAGACGTTCTGCAGAGTACGAGTTATTCAATGCCAGAAAGAAGACACTTAAACCCTCAAGCAGCCTCAGAAAATTATTTGTAATGTCACTCTTTACCCTAAAAATCTAGTCAATATTTATTGCTATTAAAAAGAATTGCAGTTCCTAACAATACTTAACTCCTTTTACTTTCAGAATCTTTTTTGAGATATATTATACTACACTTATAAATTGGGTAAGCTTCAACACATTGGACAAAGTCTCTTTAATATACAGGCAAATTTGGATACAGTTTGAAGACACTGGTGAATGTTTCCAGGAGGTACAGAATAAACTCCCTTAAAGATTTTTAGAGTAGAAAACAAAGCCTATCATCAAAACTACTGAAAACAGAAAAAGAGAATCATCATGAACACAATTGCTTGAAAATAGTTGAATTGCATCTTCAACCATCTTAAAGTCTTGTAGAAACTGAGAAGTACTGCCCAAAGTGAGTAAGTTCACTGTGATGCTGGCGCTTTGGAACCAATTTAACATAGAAAAATCCCACGTTGAAAGGTCTCACTTTGGGTGGGATGGAGAGTAGTGAGACGGGACAATTTGGGAGGATGAAAAAAATGTTTCCACTGGTTTGTTCCTTTTAAAAGTTCTATGTCTATTTCTTTAAGGTAATTTAGGTGCGTAGAAGTACAGTCATGCATTGCTTAAGGTCAGGGATACATTCTGAAAAATGCATTGTTAGTTGATACCATCATCATACAAATATTAAAGAGTACACTTATATAAACGTAGATGGTATAGCCTACTACATTCCCAGGCTAAGTGGTATAGCCTATTGTTCCTAGTCTACAAACCTATACAGCCTGTTACTGTATTCAACATTGTAGGCAATTGTAACATAATGATCATTATTGATGTATCTAAACATAGAAAATGTACAGCAAGAGTATGTTATAAAAGAAAAAAATTACAGCTCTATAGGGACTTACATGAATGAAGATTGCAGGACCAGAAGTGGCTCCGGGAGTCAGTGAGTGGTGAGTCCACATGAAGGCCTAGGACATTGCTGCACACCATTGTACACTTAGGTCACCCTGAAATGATAAAATGTGAGACTAAATCAAGCACAAGAGAGAATTATGCAACCAAGTGACACGGTTAATATGTTATGTATGAGGCTGCTAGCAACATCAATAACCTGGCATACTGTTTTATAGAAAAATTGTAAGTAGAAAGAGTACACTCTAAAATAATAATAAAGCATAGTAATATATATAGCCATACATTATTATCAAGTATTATGTCTGAACATAACTGCATGTGTTATAATTGTATACAATTGGCAATGCAGTAGGTCTGTTTACACCATGTGAGCAATGGGTTTTGCTACAACATTATGACAGCTATGACTCACCAGGTGATAGGACTTTCTGCACTTCTGTAATCTAATGGGTCCTCCTTTGTATTTGTGGTTTGATGTTGACTGAGATGTCATTACAAGGCTCATGACTGTACAGTAATACCACCTACATGTACACACAAATGGAAACCTCAAATGGAACATTCTTTATGAGTCTATTTTCTATGAACTCATTTTAATCTTCACACATCTTAGGTGACCTTTTAATATCTACCTCCTCTCCCTGCACTGTGAGCCCTGATGCAGGTGCAGTTCAGGTTTCTGAGCTTTTCAGCGGAGATGCAATTCCCCTGTCAGCTAAGTTCTCAGGCACTTGACAATGAAATATGCCTGACTGGATGTCAGCACGCTCGTTCCCCTCAGTTCAACTACAGCTATTCAGTTAGATAATAACCAGCTCTAAGACATGAACCAATTTGACTTCTACAAAGATAAAGTCTTGAAACCATAAACAGTTCTTTAGAATCTGGCCCAGGCTTAAATCAGAAAAGTATTCCTGGTTCTTAATAATACTTTTTCTAGCACCTGACAGAAAAGACACATCGGCCAACTGTGTCTAAATTATCTTGTCAAGATTTCACAGAGACAATGGAAACTTTTCAACATTATATCTTATAAAATTATAACCAGGCTAATTTGTTTATTTTCCCCCGTGTGTGCCCCTGTTTTCATAACAGGGGCATTTTCTAAGAGTGCTAATGAGCAGCACACCGCATCTGAATCTCAATCTTTATGCTCTCTCTGCAAAAAAAAGAGTGAATTTTCAACTTCTGTGAGACCTCGCATGAAGGCAGTTTTGGCCATTTTTCCTAATGTACTTACTTGGATAGCTAAAAACGACCTCCAAGAATGAGTAATGCCTTGTGGGGGTTGATGACATAAATCTGCTCTGGTGTGCCCGATGCAAGTTCTCTGAGAAGGAATGTTACAGCTATATTGCTGTGGAAACCTGGTAACACTAAGCAGACCACACCAGATATAAAATCTTCAAAAAGCATGACTACTTAACCTGGACTTGAATTTATGTCTAATCAACTTGTTACCAACAAAATGCAGTGAACTCTTTTCCCTAGAAATTGCATGATATATTGTAATACTACCAAGAAGAAAACCCCTCTCAGAAGTTTCATATGCTAACAAAAGAATGAGCAACTTTCTGATGATTTTTATTTCTTGGGTCCCTTAAGCATGTTTTTTCTTCTGTCTGAGGAAAGTGTCACGTATTGAGGGCAAAGGGTGGCAGGGTAAAGCTGGTATCAAAAATAAGTCGTTAGGTTGTATGTCTGCACTGGGTACTGAAACAAAATATGTTTTGATCAAAATGTTTGTGGGGGCAATATTTAATGGGTTGAAATAATGATTTTATGGGAAACCTGTATGTATAAATCAACTAATAAAAAGTTGATTCAATGCTCCATCCTGGCAGACTAAATAAATTCTGAATGAGAACATTTATGGTTCTGCTGACACAGGTTGTTTATCTTAGTGGTTAAGAATGTGACCTTCTGAGTCAAGTCATGGGGATCAAAATCCTCAGTGGCCATGAGAAAGTTAACCTCCCCGTGCCTCAGTTTCTTCAAATGTAAAATGAAGGTAATAGTAGAACCTACTTCACAGGGTGATAACTAGGATTAAATGACTTAATATTTGTAAATAAAAGGCTTGGAGGAGTAGCTAGCTAAGGCTCAGTAATGCTTGTTATTTCAGATGCATGTAAGTGGTTCCATCAACATCACATATGAACTAAATATAAATATGGTCGTGTGGTGAGTGTTGAATTTACATAGCTGATTTCATACTCAACTGCTCAAAGAATGGTCTTGTTATTATGCCATGGTATAATGCATAGATGAGGTTCAACTTTCAATCAATACAAACAAGATGGAGATTAGGATCTTTGAGCTGGAAGAGATTTTGGTTGTAATCCAATTTGGTTTTCTAGAGTAGGAAACCAAGGTCCACAGAAATTAAGTGGCTTTACCAAGGAAACATAAATTCTTAGCAGAGTTCAGCTTTGAATTCAAGTCTTCTGACTCTATGTTCATGTGGAAAACTCAGATAAACAGTTCACAATTTTTGACAATGTGTTTTAGTCACTGTATCATAAAAAGATAATTATACATTAACATGGAAATAATTATGCGATTATTTTTTGATTCCCTACAAAGACTCACCATTAAATATACTTACATTAGCAAATACTAATTGCAATAACATAATGAACATTTGCATAGTTATTTATTTTTTGCATAGCTATTTAAAATGAGAATAATATTTGGCATATTTATACTGTAAATACTGGTAGTTTAGAGTATAGTATATAGCACTATAAGGTATAGACAACATATAAAAATTCAACTGTCTATGTTGAAGAAGAGGAACAAGAACTTTTATTTTTCATCATGCTGATATGTTTTTTTCAAATAATGTTCATAATAATCTCACGAGTAATAGCCATTGTACTTATTTTGTGAATAAGTAAACCTAGGATCAAGATTATTTAGTTTTACTGAGGGTCACACAATTAGTGAGTGGCCCAGATTTCTGGCACGAAACCCCACACTATTTTCAATATACTAGATAAGCTTATTGCATATGTGTTTATTCATTCTTTGCTTTGTCTTCTGAAAATATAAAGGGTTCTTGGAGATTATTTCTTTGCATGGTCCAAATCTTTTTAAAATGGTAAATGAAGTTGAACAGGAGGATTTCCTTTATGGCTTAAATTTCTTTGCACAAGCAAAGGCTTCCAAGTGCTTGCTACTCTAAGTGTAGTTTGAGGCTCTGCAGTGTGGGCATCACCCAGGAGCTTAGAAACAGATTCTCAGCTCCCTGCTCACATCTACTGAGTTGGAATCTGCACTTTAACAAGCTCCCATGTGTTTTATATGCTCATTGAGCTTTGAAAGCACCAGTCTAAATCACACTACACATTTAAAATGCTGCTCAAATGCCTATTAGTGGTGTTAGTAATGGTGGCTGCATCACAAGCTAGAACTGACATAATATTGTATGTCAACTATGCCTTAATTTTAAAAGAGAAAGGAGTAGAGTATTAAAATTGTCCAATGCACTTAATTTAGACTTTTGAAAAGTAAATGATAAGAAAAAAAGTCATTTTGTTTACAAAAACATAGTAACGGTGGCTGCAGTACTAGTGTTTTACAAACTAAACAGTATTTTCTTTTTAACTCATAGGTTAAATTATTACGCATCCTTTTACAATTTATTTCCTCTTCAGTTTACCTCAAGCTTTGCACAGCTGCTAAAAAGTGCCACTTAAGGACTTTCAAAGCAAAGAAATGATCCAGTCCTTGGGGATTTTATACAAATTCTAAAACCTCCCAGATGACTAGGAGAGTAGCAATAATAGAACATCGAATCCCTATCACTCACCTTAATTGCTAACAGTTACAAACTCTAAAATTGGGAGGAAATTTCATACACATCATTGTCTTAATGTTTTAGACAGTGGGGAGAGATAGTAATATATTTTAATAATCTGGAAATTGGGGTATATGACAGACTTTAAAAGCAACGTACTTTAACTCAGAAAATGTTCTTAAAAACTGCTACTTGTACTATGTGCTTTCCAAGTCATATATTTTGTTTTTCACAATAGGTTTATGAGTTAACTTTGATATTCCCATATTACCACAGAAAAGAATGAGGACCAGTGCTACTGAGAAAATGAATAGTAGCCTAAGTAGCTATTACAATGGCAGATTAGATTATTTTTGGCTGCCTGGAAGCTCACGTTCTTTCTATTTTATGGATTTATGCAGAAGAGTTTCTATAAATCATTTTATTAAAAAAGTTTATACTCAAAACATTTGAAGCCTTCCACATGAAACCAGTAGACAGAAAAAAATGCTTTTAGCTATTATTCTGATCACTCAGTTTACAATCTGATTTTGCAGTTGAGTATATATCCTGATGAATAAATATATTGTACAAAGGTAGTGTTGAATTTCAAGACTATAAATATACCAGATTCTATGATAAGTACCCTTTCAAACTTTTTTCTGTGTTAACTTGACTTTTCTTTCTATTCAGCCTGTTTATTTATCTCTTATAATTACTGACTCTCATTTGTGCCTCCTTCACCAAGGAATTTATCTGGTTTAAACCAAAATGGAGCTAGCCTGACAGTTCTCCAAGTCACCCAGGTCACTTTCTGTGTTTTTCTACCATACACACAGACTCCGTTATAACTGGAATCCAGCTTACGTGGTAAATGATGGCTCAGCCACTTTCTGTTCAAACTGGACACAAATTATAAAGTCAGCTGGCAATCCTGGAGGACTTTTGAAGGTAGATGATTTTTCTCTATTCCATGATTGTAAAGGGCACGTGATGGTGTTGTGTGGAGTAAATGGGAAAATGCACAAGAGATGGGAAACCTGCTGTGCACCTGCCATTGAAAAGCAGGACAGAGACTTACTATCTGTATTTAATCTGTGTGTTGTATTTAATCTGTGTCATAAAAAGACAATAATAGTGGTTGGTAACTACAGTATATATGTTCACACATGACAGAGTTCTTTGAATAATTACTTTAAAAATGCTTTGGTGAAATATAATTTTGAGGACAAGTGAGAAATAATAAAAACATACTCTTTTAAAAATAACATTTCTTGTTCTCTGTCACTGTCAACTTTCTCACCATAAGTAAAAACAAAAAGAATATTGTCCAAGCTTTGAGAGAAAAGTTTTTAAATAATTATGGCTGTGTTCTGCTATAGTATAGCAATTTTCAATAAACTATGGGAAAATTTAAGAGATTATACAAATATATGACTCAATCATCAAAATTGATTCCAAGTGTGATTGGAGAGAAAGTGAAGAAGGCCGAAATGAATAAAATAAATTATGGGGAGATAAGCAGAAGAACCAGAAAATGGAAGGAAGAGAGGAA